ATTTTTTTAATGCATAATTTGCAAGACTGGAAATAAGAGATTTTTACTGTAGACTACATACTTTCCGAACTTGTCTGGTAACTAGAGAGTAAAATATAAGTACTCTCACACAAGTGTTCAAAATCTGTTACAATATGATAATGCTGAAAAGATAGTGAGAAACATAAAAAACTTCAATGGATTCTTGCTTGTTTAACCCAGACCAGACCCAAAGACCCAAACACTAGAGAACAAGTTAGGAGCTTTTACTCAAAGAGAGTTAGTTGGCAGATAGTACGCAAACACTAAATTGTTATAGTAAATCAATATAATATTCGTATTCTTTTATTCGTAAATAAACACATTCCTAACTTAAACAAATAAGGAAGGGCTAAGTTCGGATGTAACCGAACATTTTATACTCTCGCAAAATCAAATGGTATACTCGTTGTGGATTGGTCGATATTTTCGGTAAAAGATCAACTATGGGCACTGGGGTCCACATATTCAGTACCTAGGGGTTTGAACAGTTTTGATTCGATTTAGACCAAAAAATGGTCACAAGATGGCATACTTTAAAAGTATTATTCACGCAAAGTTTTACCCCGATAAATTTATTGTGCTTGATTTGCATAGTGGAAAGTGAAAAAATCAAATGACATTTAAAATGGTGTTATATGGAAAATAGGCGTGGTTATAATCCGATTTCGCCCATTTTCGCACTATAACATAGAAATATGAATCTTATGTACCGAATTTAGTTGAAATCGGTTAAGCAGATCCCAAGATATGGGTTTTCACCTCAAAGTGGGCGGTGTCATAAAGTCATCTCATACAAACCCAGAGATAAAATTTAATGTCTCTGGCGTGTTTGGTGCTTGGTTTATCGCTCTTTTAGTAGTTTTAACAGTACCGTTATATGGGTAGTGGGCGGGCTTGTCACCCGATTTCACCCATTTTTACACCGTCAATAGAGGTGCTAAAAACATTTGTTCACAGTGAATTTTGTTGTTATAGCTTCAGTGATATAGGAGATATGCACATTAAACTTATTAGGGCGCGGGACCACGCCCACTTTTAAATAAAATCCCTAATGTGATCCTGTATACCAAATAAGAGTCTTGTATCTTGTTGTGGAGCTTAGTTATGGCAATTTATTTGTTTTTGATTAATGACGTTTTGTGGGCGTGACAGTGGTCCGATTACGCCCATCTGCAATACCAACCGTCTTACGGTACCAAGAAATATGTGTACCAAGTTTCATAAGGATATCTCAATTTTTACTTAAGTTACAGCTTGCACAGATGGACGGACGCACGGACAGACAGTCACCCGGATTTCAACTCATCTCTTTATCCTGATCATTTATATATACATAACCCTATATCTAACTCGATTAGTTTTAGGTGTTACAAACTACCGTTAAGTGAACAAAACTATTATACTCTGTAGCAACAAGTTGCGAGAATATAAAAATAAGAAATTCTATTATACAGTTAATAAGGCTGACAAATAAAAACGCTTTCATAAATATCTACAATATTTCTCATTAACGGCATGACATGACCTCTTAAGAGTTGCCCTAGTCTATCACAAACTGTCACAAGCCCACGGAATCTTAGTAACGCACTCAATCCACTGAGGCTTGGCGCTCACACCACCCGTAAATTAATGAATGCTTTTAAAGCTAATGTCAAATTACCTAAGCATCCAGTTCGCAAAACGAATTCATTTCACTTTCAAATCGTCCGTCAGTCAATGAGCTCTATTTTGTTAGATGTCAAACTTTTCGCTAGAGCGTTTGATGTTGACGATCACGACACCACGGTAAGTGAAAGCAGTTTGAAGCCGCGCCCACAAATCAACAACAACGCATTCACCGCCAAGCATAAATATAAATATAGTTAATTGAAACACACATATGTATATATATATAGTTGTACATATGTATGTAGGTGTGGATATATAGCATTATATATTAGCGATTGACGGAAGCAATTTGGCTCAAACGATAGATAACAAACGATGCGTCTTCTGTCCAAGCACCTCGCTAAGAGTATGAGACACGTATGAGTATATTTGGCTACGTCAACATTTGTTCACACATTGCTATATACAAACAAATATGAAAATATAAAAATAAATGTTATGACAATAAGTTATTTTCGAAGCCTAGAATGACAACTATTCTCGCAGCTTAATAAATAAACGCAGAGCACATATGTACAAGTATATATGTATGTACATATAGTGAATATGTACGCTATATACGAAAGTAATAACCCTGTCGGAAACTCAGTTGTATGTGTAGCTATCGCCTGCTGTCCTTGTCATGGGAGAACTCAATAATTTTTACATTTTTAGCATTTATTATACCCTGAACAAGATATATTAAATTTGCCACGAAGTTTGTAACACCTACAAGGAAACGTCAGAGTGCCCATAAAATAAATACATATATTATATAAATGTTCTACATAACGAGCTGAGTCGATTTAGCCATATCCGCCTGTCTGTCTGACTGTCTGTATAAACCCGATGTAGGGACTACTTTTTAATATATCGATCAGAAATTTTGTAGACATCTTTTTCCCTTCAAGAAGCTGTTCATTTGTCGGAAGCGCCGATATCGGACTACTACAAGTACAACTTAAAGCTCCCATACAAACTGAATGAGCGGAATCAACTGTTTGTAAGTAAAGCCTTTTCATTTGACGAGATTTTTTTTTGATGCGTTGTTTTCCAAGGTAACTCCAAAAAAATTATTCGGAGCAGACAACTATAGCATATTGCTGATATACAAACTGGCCGATCAAAATACAGTTCTTGTATGGAATATTTTGTATTTGTGAAGGGTAATGTAGCTTCGGTGCAACCCATGTTAACGTTTTTTCTTTTTACGTTAACAACGCAATGGATGAACACGTAGTGAGCGGTGACTTAGTTAGATCTTGAGTTTATTAAGAATTTATGAGTTTTGTCTACGCCTACAATTATAGTGCAACCACCTAAATCTATTCTGTATTCTAGTAAAACTAGTCTGTAAAATGTGAACTAAACTTAGCAGAGTTGATCATAGACGTTATTATTATTTAAGACAAGAGCGCTCGGCTATATCAAGCAGAAAGATGGCGAATAGAAAACAGCTTTAATATGTTGAGCCTGGGCCTAGGTCAATAGTGATATATGACATCTACAAACCAGTTTGAGCCATTTGTTATAGTCATAACGTTTTGGTGTTCTGCAGTTCGCTGACCCTTTAACACCCTGTTTCGGCAGAGGCTTACCCGATTATTCGACAAGCTTTGACATTCATTTGTAGGAAGCCAAATAATATTATTTTTATACTCTTGCAACATTTTGCTACAGTGAGTATATGGTAATAGTTTTGTTCACCTAACGGTTGTTTGTATCACCTAAAACTAATCGAGATAGATATGGGGTTATGTATATATAAATGATCAGGATGACGAGACGAGTAAAAATCCGGGTGATTGTCTAACCGTCCGTCCGTCTGTGCAAGCTGAAACTTTAGTAAGTATTGAGATATGTTGATGAAACTTGGTACACATATTCCTTGGCACCCAAGGGAGGTTGGTATTGTAAATGAAAACTTTTAAAGTGCCATAACTAAGCCGCAAATTAAGATGCAAAACTATAATTTGGTACAGGAGATCGCAGTAGCCAGGGACACGTGGGCTAAACATTTTTTTAAAGTGGACGTGGCTCCGCCTCTAAATGGTTTAATGTACATATCTTCCAAACCGCTTAAAACATATGAACCTATGGTAACTTGATGAGAAGAAGTTATTTTACCACCGGATCGGATATTAGCCACGCCCACTCCCCATATAACAATTATGTTGCAAGCTACTTAAAGTACGATTACTGATTTCAGATGAAAGATGATGAAAGAAATGGATCAAAGGATATATATTAAATTTTGCGTTAATAATCGAATTAAATGTTCCAAGGAATTTGAAATGTTTGTCTCAAAAAATTGTTTATAAGTGTTGATGACAATGAGCATCCTGGAGGTGCGACAACGTCAACAAGCGAAGAAAACATCGAAATAGTGAAAAAAATTGTTCTTGAAAAATCTCATCGAGTCACTATTAGGGAAGTTACAAAGGATGTTGGCATATCAATCAGCTCATGTCATTCAATTTTCTAAAATGTTTTCGGTATGAAACATGTGGTGGCGACGTTTATTCCGAAATTGCTAAATTTTGAGCAAAAGCAATGTCACATTAGTATCGCTCAGGAATTGTTGAATAACATCAAAAACGATCCGAGTTTGCTCAAACCACTAGATTTGGCACCCTGCAACTTTTTACTATTCTCAAAACTGAAGAAACCACTGCAAGGAAAGCGTTTTGCCACAATTTATGAGATCAAGTCAGAATCGAAGAAAGAGCTGATGGCCATACCGAAAAGCGATTTCAGAAGCCTTTCGAGGATTGGAAAAAGCGTTGGCACAAGTGTATTATATCCGAGGGGGACTACTTTAATCGAGTCAAAATAGATTTCGATGCATAAATAAGTACTTTTAAAACAAAACTCAAAATTCAACTTTTCCTTTGAACACACCTCGTACCTAACATAAATATTTTCGCCCCTCCGGTTCTCTTTACACCGCATCTATCCGTCAATATGTAAGACAGCTTAATGAAATTCAGATAGAATCTTTTTCTAATAACAGTGTATCTTCTTTCCTTATGAAATGTTCGGTTACACCCGAACTTAGCCCTTCCTTACTTGTTATATTTTTAAATATTTACACAACTCTTCATATTTATGTACAAAAGCGCTTGGCTGTTTCGTAATGGTATGGATAGTAATTTTCCATTAACACATTTTTTGTTATTATTTATAGAGACTCTCAGTTACCTTCCTTGTGATCTTTACAAAAAAATAAAAGTTAATAAAAAATTTTCCTAATAAGTCGGTACTTTCTTGAACCATATAAGTCGTCGCTGTTTTAACAACTGTATTTTTTTGTTTACTCTTTATCATTTCAGCAACATTGAGATTTCCAAGCACCCAGAATACGAATACCTATGCGTTTCACAACAAGGCGACGCTCAGCAGACACTGTGATGAGTTTAAGTAACGCCCACAAGCATTTAAGTTTCATCTATAAGCCAGCAACAAATTTGATACAAAACGAAACACCCTAGTGATGAGAGAGAAGGATCACTCACCAAGAAAAATGCTACCCAGCCCTAAGCAAGGGTCCGTTTATCCATTATTAGGCCTTGTGCCCACCACTACCTATGCATCACAAGTACCTTATGACCTATCGGTGACGGCGACGCGCACCTCAACGGCTGCTTTGGGTACGTCGCCACTCTCGCTCACCATATCTGCCTTAAGTCAAAGCCACAATGAAGCAAAAAACCGTAAGCGGTGCAGCAGTTACGATCAGCCGCTTGACCTGCGACTGGCACATAAAAAGCACGACGGCTCCAATACAAGCGGCGCTTCCTCACCGCTGGAGGATGAGAACAGCAATCTCATATACAATATTACCAACTACAACAACTCCAACTGTCACACCAAACCCACAAGCGCTGCATCGCCTAGCAATCATAATTCCCAACATGCGCAAACGCCGTCGCAAACTGCGCAAATATTAAACTGCCGTTCACAGCGTGAAGTTTCACCGACGGATGTCGGTTGTGAGAAGGAGCTCAATAACAACACTCTACCATCTCTATGTGCGGACGCAATCGCCGCTAATCTGGAAAGTTTGAGCGGCAAGCATAACAAACGCTTGCGCACGCAAAAGTCCGATTTGGGTGTAGCATGCTTGCGCATCACAGAGTCATTGCATTTGAATGCCGCCGCCGCAGCAGCGGCTGCAGATCGACTGCCATTCGTCTCATCCGCTTTGCATCCCACACTGCTAGAGGCGATGGCGAAGGCCATACCACTGCCTTACCGTAACCCTTTTGTGCTGCCGCGTCCACCTACAGCCAGTTCCTTTTCTTTTCTGCAACCGCCGCTGCAGAAGGAAATGCTGCCCGGTTCGATGCAGCTGTCGCAGTCACCCTCTAATGAGACGCCTCTGGAGTTCCATTTCGATAGTAGCGGCAACCGAAGCAGTTTATCCGATGCGCTAACTCATCCGCACGTCAGCGGCAACATGAGCGCTGGTGCCAACAAGGCTGCACTAAATGCGGGTAATGGTAATAACGGGTGCGCAGGTGGTGGTGCATCAAAACACTTGCAACAGCAAATTACCCACAATCAGCAGCAATTAAACCACCATGCGCGTCAGCAGCAACTTACAAATAGCGGCGGTAGTCGCGCAACGCTAACTACGGACGGCGTGGCAATGCATCACAATAGCAAGAAGTCAGTGGCCACGTCACGTGCCAATCTGCATTCGAATGCACCCAGCAACTCTGCGACCGCGCAGTATAAAAGCAAAGATCGATACACATGCAAGTTTTGCGGGAAAGTCTTTCCGCGTTCCGCTAATCTAACTCGCCACCTACGCACGCATACCGGTGAGCAGCCGTACAAGTGCAAATACTGTGAACGTTCCTTCAGCATATCCTCGAACTTGCAACGTCATGTGCGTAACATACACAACAAAGAGCGTCCGTTCAAATGCGAAATCTGTGAACGTTGCTTTGGCCAGCAAACGAATTTAGATCGTCATTTGAAGAAGCACGAAAGTGATGCGGTATCCCTAGGTCTGGGCATGAACGAGCGCATACGCAGTCTACGTCGTGGTGGCTACTGCGACAATCCTACTGAAGAGTCCTACTTCGAAGAGATACGTTCCTTTATGGGCAAGGTGACACAGTTACCACTTGCCGCTGCAACGGCAGCGTCCGGCTCTACAATAAACCAATCCACGTCGGTCGGTAATCAGGCGATAGCACCGAAATCACCATCGACACGTAGTTCCACCTCAAGCAGTTCCGAACGCGATTCATCCACCAGTGGTGGCGGTTTGCAAATAGTGCAAAACGATATGTTTTTAGAACCAGAAGCGGAGGCCGACAACGAAATTGAAACGGAAGTCGGAGAGGAGTTTGGGAGTAGAAGCGCTAATCAAATGGATGTGACAACGACGCCAGTAAAGAAGTGTAAAGATGATAACGAGACGACGACAACAACTTCAAAGTCAATAACTACTGCAACAACAGCAACAGCAGCAGCTGTGACAAAAAGAGATGCTACCCGAACTGCGCGACAGTCAGGCGACAAAAGTTTGTACTTTTCGCAATCGGACGTGTGTTTCAAACGTGACAGCAGCAGTAATAGTGGCAGCCCACTATGCGCCACCTGACCTGGCTGCCGGCCACTGTTGATTCACCCACTATATCTGCGCATTTAGTTTGTAGTGTGAATTTTATTGAATGCAATTAAAAGTTATAATATTATATATTCGTGAATTAAGAGTGCGGATAGTGGCATATTTCTATGTACAGTTAGATTTAGATAAAAATATTCTCGAGGTGTATGCTATGAGTGCTATGAGTAATAAGCATAGGAACTTTGTACTCTGAGATTTATTTGATTGGCCAGTAACGATAGTAAAAGTTCACGTAAGGGTCAAAAAGAACAATAACTACAATAAGTACTGTATCCTCGAAAAATTTTCCAACCAGAAATTTTGTGTGTTTTGAAGTAAGGCTTCTAGCAATTTTTATGGAATTCCAGATATAAGCAATATCATTTTATGAACGTTTAAAAAAGCTTCAGTAAAGCACTTCATACAAAAATAAACGAGAAAATTGCATACCTTTAGGCGTGCACTCTTTTCTTTCTACAATTTTTTTTCGCGATTAAGCAATTCCAATGTGTACACTAAACAATTATGACTTTACTCCTATTTTTATATATATTTTTTCAATAAAAACTTCCTTGTACGTACAATATATTTTATTTAAAGCTTGTGTATGTGTTTCTATAAGAAAATCCTTTTTTACTTAGTCCTACTTTTACATGCACATAAATGTATATATGTATGTAGTTATATGAACTTTTCTAGGTTATGTAAAACGACTAGTTCTTTTGTGTAGAATATTAACGAGTGCTTTTTGTGTATTTAGCTCGTGTAAACACTCAATCAACAGCCTATTTCTTAATCGTTAAATTATTTAAGTTACTGAAATTTTTGTTAAAAATAGTTCATATATTATTTGTTTATCTTAAGTACCTTTATTAGTTTGTTAAAGAGAAATTTATCAAATTGCCAATGAATAAAGCAATGCAGTTGAGAAATTAAACTCATATAACTATTAATGTTGATGCTAGGAACTCAAAGAGGCAAATTACTAAATTTCGCCTTCATCACTTACCGCCGCATAACACCGTAAGTATAATCATCTTCAGTTAGCTCAATTTGTAGAGTGGCGAATCGAACAAGCAAATGGTAAAAATCAAAACGTCACACCTTGATTTTATTTTGATATTATCGATTTAACATAAACCAAACCATAAAAATGAAACAATTGTAAGTGAAATTGTACAGAAATACAATCTAAAATATAATTAATAAAATGCCTTTGGACGTATACATGGAAGTAGATAAATCTATTTACCAAAAAATACTTAACGGTACTAATATTTTGCCTTTTTTAAAGTCTTTCGAACTGATCATATTTTTATGACAGTTGTTGCCAGTGCTGTTAAAATTTAATCAGAGAACGCACGGTTTCACAAACCATTTAGTTTCGGCAAACTGCGCTGCTCGATTGCTATCGCTTCCGTTTCAGTAACGAAGGATCTACTTACGATCATCGTCACCAATTCGTGTCAGCACAATATTCCCAAGTTTATGAATTCATTTATTGATATCACGTCGGACAAATCTTTAAAACTCTACCAAGTAACACCGTTAAGCGCAAAACCACCAAACTTTTTATAGAGGATGACAAACAAAAAATCTATCAGTATATTGATAATAAAGTGCATCAAATTTTTAAGCTTTAAGCTTCTTATAACCGCTAAGTCACGAAGCTATTTCGGGGTACGAGGGACAACTGAAATGCACTGGCTTCACTGACAAACTTGTTAATCAAAGACAAGGAGGAAATAACGTATAACATAACCATAAAAAGATTGAGAGAAAATTATCCAAAGAAATTTCACTATTCACTAAAGTTTCCAAGAACAAAAACGGACATAAGAAAGTTACTCTCGCCATTCTCGAATGGAAAGGAAGGGTATACTTTTTATAATATCCTGGACTTTCAGTTTCACGCACCACAATGCAAATCTGTATCAAAACTACGCGATTTCGAATGTCTTGTTAATATAAAATTGATAATTCAAGATACTATCTTTGGTTCAAGAATATGAAATGAAAAATTGTACACGGTTACTTAGATTCGACTGCCTTCTAATAGTCTGACCTCTAATAGTTTGATGAATCAATTGAACAACGGGCGTGTCCCCGCCTATTTTAGTGTTAAATATCATATCTCAGCAACTATTCGACTTATTTCAACAAAATTTGGTACAAGCCATCTTTATCATGAAATTAAAAAATGGACTTTGAACTACGACCATTTTTATTTCTAACGTAGCAGCCTGCATCTTAAAGCAGCTGATTATTTATATGATACCTTTTGAAGCTCCCAAATACTACATATTCGTTTTTAGGTATTAACAATTTTCCTGTCTGTCTGTATATACGCCAATTAGTCCATCTAAAATCGTGGATCTAAACTTTTGTACACGTCCTTTTCTTCTCAAGAAGCTGCTCATCAGACATCTATAGCATATAGCTGCCACACCAAATGAACGATCAAAATCTTGTAATAAAACTGGAACCTATGAAGGGTATTATACCATCTTCGTTGTAGCCGAAGTTTACGATTTTTCTTGCTTTTCATCAAAACTTCTCCGATAGGTGTGAAATTCATACACGTGGCTTTTGAGATTAGGGTTAACTAGTAATTATAAATAAATTCAAAATTATTATCTCGAAGTGGGCTTTTATTATTATCATTAGCATTGTTAAATCTAAATTTAACATATTGAAATTACTCATTTTCTTGGAGCCACATTTAATAACTCATGACAATCATAACAACCTTAGATTTACAGTTAGCAATTAAAGTACCTTAGATCATAAGAACATCGTAGACTTATGGTAAAATAAAAAACACGACGATTTAGACAATAGAAATTCAAGTGAATACAGATGTAACGAAATGACCTATCCATTCGCGGCATATAATTGTTATAATTGAAAATTTAATTAAAAGTAAGTCGATAGCGTGGTTTATTGAATAATTAGTCTTAAATTGAAGCACATGATTCATTTTAGCAAAAACAGCGTTAGAAAGTTTTTTGCTTCGAGTTGCCTATAGTGTGTACTTCACTGGGATATTTTCACATTTTCCGGATACGAGAGTTCCGTTTATTAAAACGATTTTCAAAAGTAAATCACCAAGTAACGTCGGGGTTTCCAGTACAAACAATAAAATTATAATAATCTCTGAAGATTGTTGAACCATAAAACAAGAGTTGTTAGATGAATTGTTGCGAGAAAGCACAAAACAAGTGAAGAAATGGCTTATACGAATTGTGACAGAATATCAAGTGGAAACTTACTGCGTGGAGTACCCCATAACCATAATTCCTATACTCTGCTTGCAATGTAACGTGGCAATAAAAGTCGGATTTTTTTAATTTAACCCGACATCTACATCCACAACGCTATTGTACTTGAGTTTTCTATTTTCAAGGCAACTCGGGTTCTTCATTTGCAATAGGTGATAGTTTAACTCTCGAAACATAATTCTCAAGAAGTAATTTAGTGCAGGTCTTGTTTTGCTAACTATGAATAATTTAAAGTGCATACTTATGAGACACTATCAAAAAAATTCCCACTGAATTTCATTAAAATACCTCCACACATTGTCCAATAGATCATATAAGAAGTAAAGTCAACCGGATGTTTAAGGATCCTTATATTAGTTATATTCTATTCCGTACACGACCGCTTCTTCTTTATTTTTTGACATTGACTCTTCACCCGTCCGCCAATGAAACTACATCGCATATTATGTTGCAGCCTAACCGAGCGGGGTAAGCGGCGACCAAGCGACTTTTTTCTAATATTTACATTTTGATGTTCGTGATAGCTTTCGAATGGAATGTCTAAAGCGAATAATTCAAAAAGTTATATAAAGATATTGAATCAGTCTTGAATTGAAGTAATTAATTTCAAATGGATTCATACCAAGATAAAAATAAAGATCTTTTACAGAGGCTTCATTTTAATAGTTTTTTTGTTCAAATAAAATAACAGTTATTGTGACTAACTAAAACAGTTAGACATATGCCGTCGCGACATTTTTTGTAGATGATTATATGTTTGGCAAAGTCGTAGTACCTTATTTGGCTCTTTATAACGCTTTTTTTTAGCCTCTTAAATGATTTAATGTACATATCTTCCAAGCCGCTGAAGCTAACCCAACCAAATTTGCTGGGAAGAAGTATTTTTAGCACTTTTCCATACGCTGTGAAACACCACGTGTGACTAGATAATAAATATTGTTTAAAATACTAAAAAACATGTTTTTATAGCACAATAAACTAAAAAATTAAAAATAAATATACTTAGTTTAAAAAACACTAAAAAAAACATGCTTTTGAAGCACTTCACTTTTTAGAAAAATAATTGCTGATATAATCTGACAGTAATATTGACCGAAAAATACTTGTATTATTGTAAGAAAAGCGTGTGATGGTTTGTGCCATATTTTTCGTATATCGCGCATACCACACCAATTCTTCAATTGCAAAATCATGTTCTCCGATGAGGCTCACTTTCATTTGAGTAGTGTGGCAAATAAACAAAACTGTCGATTCTGGTGCGAAGAAAATCCACAAATTCTTCATGAACAACCATTACATCCTCCCAAATTAAAAGTTTGGTGTGGTTTTTGGTCTGGTGGAATCATCGGTCCGTACTTCCTTCCAGATGAAGCTGTTGACACCGTTACTGTCTATGAAAAGCGATATCAATGATAACCAACTTTTTATGGACGCAATTGAAAGAAGTTGATCTGGACAATATCTGGTTCCAACAAGACGGGGCTACGTCCCACACAGTACGTGCAATAACCGAATTATTACGAGAAAAGTTTGGAGACTCGATCATTTCAAGAAATTGGCCTCAAAGCAGTTGTGATTTAAAACCATTAAACTACTTCTTGTATAGTTATTTGAAGTCTTTAGCAATAAACCAGACCCTTTTCAAGCTTAAGAAGTCAAGTAAAAATTGGATTCATCGAATTCGTTCCTGCTGTGTTGTACTTTATATTAAAAGAAAAATATTTGAACTTCCCTTACAATTGGTATTTATGTATTTTTTTAATCATATTACCTTTATTGGAAAACCCTTTATAACAGCAGACTTGGCGAGTGAAGTCCATCTTGATATGTCTGAGGGGTTTTTCTATTTCAAAATCATTTTTGCAAGGACAATTTTCGATGCCCTTCATGAGTAGATGACGTGACATAAAGAGATATTTTGTCACAATCCCTTGAATAGTTATCCAACAACACTCATCCTTCTTTACTTCTAGTGATGCAATAATGATACCTGCCGAGTATTTTTAGGGTCAAATCAAGTTAAGATCTCTTTGTACAGTATTATCTTACAGAATATCCCTTTGTATAACACAACTAATGGTTATTTAAAAGCACTTTCAAATAAATTAACTAAAGCTTTCAAAAAAGTACTTTTTCATTGGTGCGCTTTTATTGAAAACCCCTTTACATACAACCTTTAAGAGTTTTAGTTTACAAAATATAGAAAAAATGAGTGATTTTGAGCAAATTCGTGTCACAATTATAGTAAGAGCAAGTAAATAAGCAAATTTGCATTGATCAATCGTGACATAAAGTGACCAAACCATTTGTAAATTCATCACTAGATCACAGACTGGTTAATCTATTAGTTTCGGAGGTGTATAATTTGAATAAAGTCGAATTTTGTCATAATTTCAAACAAAAGAGGCTAAAACGCTTGCGTCTTTGAATTTCTTGCCGCGTTTGCGTCGTTTTGGTGGAGAGGCCTATGGGATAAATAGTTTGTGCCCATTGATTTCTGGAAGAAAAATTTTATGATTTAGTCATAGAGCCAGCGCACACAAACGTAGGTATACCGCTTATACCCCACCTCTTGTCAACTGGCAATGGTTTTGACGGCATGGGTGAATAACGGAATCTACCATGCTTTCGAGTGAAACGGTGAAATTTATACTTTTTCTCATAATTCTGGCAGCTTCTAAAACAGATGCAAAGATGAAAAACGCTTGAATAACCTTAGCAAACGAGACGCTAATACACACTTTTGCTGCGCTGCCACCTTATTCAACATCGTCATCTCCGACATCTGACTCAACATTGTTGTATTGTTCTGCAGCAAATGATTTTGATTGATAATCATTTCGCCGATTTCGTTTAGCATAAATACAACCGCCTCCTTTTCCCGCTCAGCACTTAAGTCATCCTCGAACGGTTCCGTTTGCACCTGATTGCTATAGCAATAGGATTCGGTTTGGGTTGTTGAAGTTTCGGCGCCACTTTCGTTCGTCTGGGTGGCTCGCGCAAATATTTTACGTTCGGTTTGAACGCCATGACACAAAGTATTTGGATCGGTTTGTGTGCCTTGTTTGCGCAGTATGCGACGACTGGTCTGTTGTTCACGATGCACCGGAAGTGTGTGTATTTCCGTCTCCGTTGAGCGACTACGCACTTCCGGCTTCGATGTTTGGGTTGAGCAATCGGCAAATTGGGGTAGAATTGTACGTGTTGGCGAAGATTTCGGCTTAAGGTCGGAATTGTCACTTATCGAAGAGCAACTTTTCAATTTCTGCAGGAATCGTTGACGCCGCTGCACGCGCATTTGAAAAGGTGCCTTGGCATAGATTTGTCTTATGCGTATAACGGTTAACATTTTACCATCAACCTCAAAGGTGACCGAATAACTGTAAACACCGTAAATGAAATAGTAGATTAAGAGAAAACCCAACGCACCGAAAAATTTAAGTTAACCCACCAGCATTTTCCGATATGCATGCGTCTATTAAGTAGCAGAGGTTGTTTACTCGAAATAGAATTCAATAAAAGTGCTTTCAGATCCATGCGTTAATGTAGATTTAGTAGACAAAACAAATTATAAATTGCAGCAAATTTCGAATATTCCACATTATTTCTTTCAAAACCGAAAATACATACATATATCAGTTTAGCATTGCCAGGCTCAAGCTCTGAAAAATTAAAATTAAAAAAATTTATAGACAACATTAACATATTACTGGAAAACTTTTCAAGTATCTTCACTTTAAGGAGAAACACGAGGTGTCTAAGCACTTTTTTTTCGATTCTCCAGCTGTCACTAGACTGAAGGCTAACTTAAGACTTGATGACTCAGCTTCGTGAAACCAGGCGAATCGGCAGGAATAGACGTTAACCGCCTCAGATTGGTAATATAATGAAAGCGATTCGTTAATAGATGTGTAGCTCTTGATCCATATCTAGCGGTATTCTCTTCACAAAAGTACAGTGGTTCAACTATCCTAAGTCTATCTTCACTTTAAGACTTCACTACTAAGAGGAAAATTCCGAACATTGAATTCTATTACTCTTAAACATAAGTGTTTCGTTTAGGATGCACTTTTTTGAAAAAATGTGGAATGGGATTAAAATTTTAGCTTTTTAGGAATAGACTATTACTAGAACTAAAGTTCAGAACTTTATTAAGTAAATACCTAGACCTGATGGATATTGGTCTAGTCTATCAAATCGCGGCAGTCATTTTAGTTAATTTTTCAATGCTTAGCCAAGTTTGGTTTTTTTACCGCTAGTTGGATAAACGAAAACGAGTAAACTATATAGTACAAAGAGATGCTTCACAAAGCTCCAGATATGATACAAAAAATTGTGAATTTGAGTATTTGAACTTAAACTTTTGTACTCTTAACTCTAAGTATTTCATTTTTAACTAACTCTACATATTAGTTGTAGTTGGCACATTCGGGTTTCGCTGCATCGGTTCAATGTTTAGAAAGGTGAAGCGGTCTACAATTCTTCTAAGAACTTGCACACTCAAACAATCTTGTCTTGTTTCTATTGAAGTCATTCCACAGCATTACTGGTTTTGCGTTACATAGTTTTGGTTAGTCTAAAGCGTTAGGCTAATGAGCCAAGCATAGACCAGTCTTGGTTCTTTGCGATGCCAAATAGTTTCGTTACGTAGTTCATGAGAAGTAGTCATCCTTTACGAAACAATGTCAGCGCTTGACCATAAAACGTTATTTAGGACTATAAGATCATGTCCTCTGAAGGACACCTACTACGAGTACATAGTGAAACCTGCATGTCCATAGTAAATGAGCATAGAAAGAAGAAACTCGTCGCCCATATGTTTTCGCAGAAACCATGTTTTTTAGTCATCTCCATGCGGAAGCGCCTTCTAGGAACATTAAGCGGTCATTCCTACAATACGCCGACGAAGTACAAGGTTTGACCAAAGAGACTTTGCACTGACTCGGTCGGAACGTCCTAGGTTTCGATGACTACCATACCACCAAACGGCGTTTTACAACATCGCTACAACAAAAGCGCATCAATTAGGCAAAATGTATTCGATTTTATGATTTAAGTATTTATTTTACTTTTCGTTTATCAGATATTCAGTTCCTTCTATTGCGATGAATTTTTTACAGGACTCAATTAATAAAATACTACTCTCATAAACATATGTTAACAACATAGACTTAATTACATATACACAAGATAAAAAAAAAGCATTTCAAGTTCTCTAACGTCATTTGGTAGTTCATTCGTGAGCGCAGCACTACTACAACAAATGCTTGCTGACGTCGTTAAAGTGCACATCACAGCGCTGGTGACTAAATCCAACTTTTGGCAAACATTTAGTTTAGGAAGTAAATTTTTATTAATCAACAAAAACTTTTGCAGAAAAAAGAAAGAGTTTCTATGATTTTTGTTCGCAGCTAATTTGGGGCTAAAAAGTGCATAAGTGAAATGCTGTTAATACGTAATTTTTGGCATGTAATATGGAATCTCGTTGGCAAAATTTTGCATGTATGTATGTATGTACTCATGTGATGCGCATACGAGTACGTAGGTATGTATGGTGTGGATATATAGTGGTTTTGCTGTGTTCTTCTCGCTGTTACTTCGTGTTGTTGGTATTCTAATGTTGCTCGCTTTTATCTTTTTCACCGTTAAGTATATGTATAACAATTAATTTAACTACATGTTAGTATTATTTAGTATATTAATCTCCCACTCTTAGCCAAGTAAACATTTGAACTCCATTGGTAAGCTGTTGCATACACGTGCGACGCACACGCTCCCATAAACCACTTACACCGCCGACTTGCTATTCTTTTTGCCACCATGTCGTGGTGGTGGTGGTGCATTGTAGGACTTCTCTGAACCGGAACTCATATGGCCTGCGTAAAAAATTTTTAAATATTATTGAAACTGTATTTCTCTATTTGAAGTAAATTTTAAAATGCTTTTAGTGAAAGTACAGTTTGTCACATATAATAAAGTACACAACCCTCTCATAGTATTGTTCACAAACATCATACACACCTCTTATAGCTTTTTCAATTCTTGAAATGTTGATTGAAGTGAATTCTTTTTGAGCGGTAAGAAAGAGAAAACACCAAACAAAATTAGTATAATAATTCGATAAATTAGTCGTTTATTAATTACCCCACTTACGAACGACTCTTAAGAGATTTTAAGGATATTTCAAACCCGTTCAATAGTAAATATTCCTAAACACGATGTGATATCATATGTATCTCATTACGGTAAGTGTAAAAGAAAAAAAAAACCAGAAAAAACGTTAACTTCGTCTGCACCAAAGTTATAATACCCTTAACATTTGCATTTTTTATAGCATAGAAGGGTACAAAAAGATGTTTATTCTGATTAGGATTGGTCAGATGTGTGGCAGCTATATGCTATAGTGATCTGATCTGAACAATTTTCTCGAGAATTGTAGCGATGCCTTGTATAACAAGCTAGTCAAATTTCGTGAAGATAACTTGACAAATAAAAAAGTTTTCTTTCCAAGGACTTGAGTTCGATCGGTCAGTTTGTATGGCTATAAATATACGATATTGGCGGTTCCGACAAATCAGCAGTTTTTTGGTGAGAAAAGGACGTGCGCAAATTTTCAGATAGATATAACAAAAACTGAGGAACTAGTTTCATACATATATATAGACGGACATGGCTGAATAGACTCAGCTCGTCAGGCAGATTATTTATATACATACTTTATAGAAAACTTATAATACCCTGTTCAGGGTATAAATATTTGTAAAACTTACACCATACGGCAACACCTAATTTTGAAAAACAAAATAAAGTGATATGACAGCAGATCGCATTATATGATCGGTTGACGTGATATTTTGATGTGATGTGATGATGTGCACATCACAAGCCCGCAATAAATTGCTTTAACTAAACACTGTGGTGATATTACATCATATTGCAAGGCATGATGCCTTAGGCATCGCATAATACCTGATTATACCAGTTCCCACGACAGCCGGGTCTACGTAACCAGAACGGACTTTATCCGGCCAAGGACTGTCAACTCGGCAGAATTCTGCCGCTACAACAACAACAACAACCTGATTGTTCCACTCCAACGACTGTTGGGTCTACATAACAGAAACGAACCCGAATTCATATCTGGCCAAGGACTGTCAATTCGTCAGCATTTCCCAAATTATTTGATATCACATCTATTTAAAGGATTATTGTTTGGACTATAGATCTGATGTTGTAAAATAAAATGATTCCACAACCAGAACTGGTAATTTCTAATTACGAATAATTATGTTTCATCAAATTTATGCTCCATTCACGACTTCATCAATACAAGCACACTCAGATTTACACCAGATTTTATGTCCGATGGTCTTACCTTTACTAAATGCCGAGGTGGTTTGCTTTCTGCCTGCATTACTGTTGGAAGATACGTTCAACGGTGAGGAGGCACTTGGCAGTGGTGAGTAGCCTCGGTAGCTGCCGGCACGTGAGCCTCGTGCACCGCGTCGTTCGTGTTTTCTTGGTGATGGTGATGGTTCGAAATCGGTTTCGGTATCGTATGTCGAGATGAGATCACGTTCAGTGTTGTAATTGTAACGACTATCTGTGGGCGATTGTGAACGATATGCACGCGGCGGTGGTGAATATGAGTCGTCACGATGCCAACTGCCATTTATATCGCTACCACGTCGGCGATGATGTTGACGCATACGCTGCTCTTCCTCGTCTTCATCCTCTTCGTCATCCACATAATCATCCTCGTCCTCATCGTCATCATAAGCGTCATAATCAGTACGGTTAGGCGAATAACGGCTGCTGCGTGGTGGTGGTAAATGCCCACTGCCGCCGCTGACAGCACCCGGTGGTGGCGACATTAGACGTCCAAGTGGCGGTGGACGCATTTCTCCTGGTGGCACAAATGGCGGTGGCATGCCCATAAAAGGTGGCGGTGGGCCCATGAATGGTGGTGGCAGGAATGGCGGTGGTGGCAGTCTACCTAATAACGGCGAACCGGGCGATTCCATATGTATGGGAGAATTCGCATTATTTAACTCACCAGCAGCCATTTTTTCAACTGTAAGTGGGATATAAAAAGTCTTAAATTGCAGAACAAATGATATTTTCAGCGTATATGTACAATTAGCTTCACCAGTCGCGCCCCCAGCCAAGGAAGTGAGCTTACGACGCAGCGCTGTGGCTTCGGCGCGCGCCTCCTCATAACGACGTTCTGATTGTCGTGCCGCTAGCCATGTTTCATGTGCGCGATTCTCCAAAGTACCCGTTTGCGCTTTGTGTGCTGCTAGTTGAGCTTCAATTTCAGCGCGTAGGGCATCATTTTGTGATCTGAAATGCAGCCGTTTGAATGCATGCAGCAATAAATAGTTTAAGTATAAAAAAGCAATCGTATACACACTTTAATGCTTGAATTTCCTGTTGCATTGTGGTAACACGATCCACGGTGCTAGTGGTTTCACCTTGTTGCTTCAGCCACATGGCTTCTTTCAGACTTAGTTCTCTGTAAGCAGAAATAAAAATGTAATAAATTTGGTATGTGCAACTATAGTTTTTGCGTACTTTTGCAGCTGCGTTTCCTTCTCCTTGAAGTAGTTGGACAACACTTCCAAACGCGTCTGCGCCTCTAATTTATCCTTTTCCGATTGATGGAAATCGTGTTTCAATTTCTCATTTTCATTGTTAGAAAGCTGTAATTGCTGTTCGAACAACTTTTTGGCATCCTATATCGAAACGAAATTTGAATTTTAAAAAGCAAAATAAATTTTAACTTCGGTTGCACCGAAGCTGTAACACGCTCCACAAATACAATATATTTCTTACAAGAACTTTTTGATCGTTTAGTTAGTATGGCAGCTATATGCTATAGTGATCCAAACTGAACAATTTCATTAGGGATTGCACAATAATCCATGCCAAATTTCGTAAAAATATCTTGTCAAAGACAAAAGTTTTCGATACAAGGACTGGATTTGGATCGATCGGTTTCGACAAATTACCAGCTTATTTTAGAGAAAAGGATGTGTGCAAAATTTCAGATCGATATCTCAAAAACCTAGGGACTACGTCGCGTATATACAGACAGACGGGCAGACGGTCTAAATCAGACTGGCTATATCGACTCCGTTCGTCATTCTAATCATTTGGGTGTTACAAACTTCGTGGCACACTTAATATACCCTGTTCAGGGTCATTACCGTTTCTGTATCTAAACGATCTTTTAGGGCAGCGTACCGCTTTTGCACATCCAATAGCTCAGCTCTTACGTTAGCAACGTCAATAACGTTATTTATATTCACGCTGGGATCCCTACGTACTGTACGCAAACACTCCTCTAAAGCCTACAAATATAGAAAACATTATATGTAATATTTCACTAACAGCAAAAGAAATGATTGGAAGGATGATTTTAAAATTCTCCTTACCTCTACTTTTGCCAAACTCGTCTGATACTTCGTGTGTTCCGCCTCGAGTTTTGTACTCATCTCAACTAATTCACTTTGTAAACGTTTTATCTCAAAGTTCTTGCCTTCCAGCGCCTTAGTGATGTCTTCTTCAAACTCTCTCTTCGTTTCCTCCAAACGTGTTTGTAAATTACTCTTTTCCACTTCGAGCTCGTCGTTATCTTGTTGCAGCGATGCAATTTCACCGCTAAGACGCGCATTCTGCTCCGCAATCATAAGCTGTAGTTCGCTATTTTCCCGGCTTTTCTCGGCCAAATTAGCGTTTATATCGAGAATAGTTTCTAGAAATGCCAGAAAAATTCAAAATTTTAGTCAAAGATTCACAGGAGTAAAATACAATTAACTGTACTTTGTTGTTCGTTCAACTGCTTTTGCAATTCTTCAACGCTGCTAATAATAGATTCGTCGCCGGTCTGATTGTTCAATAGCTCTGAAACAATTTTATTCAACTCCAGTCCGGCTTCGGCTGCATTTTCTAGTTCCTAAATAAACAATAAAATTATTCGAGGTTATAAGGGACTAAGTATGACCAGTGACCGTTCCCACGACAGTCGGGTCTACGTAACCGGAACGGACCCGGATTTCATCCGGCCAAGGACTGTCAACTCGGCAGAATTCTGCCCCTACAACAACAACAACAACCAGTGCTTCTTACCTTTTCTAAACTCCCAACTTGATCTTGCAATTGACGTTTTTCCAGTAGTTCGTCCTCCAATTCCTGCTTCAACGCTATAACCATATCGTTTGAACCGAAGGAATTATCTTCAATACTCGACAATTTGTTACGTGTACCCATTAAATCTTCTTTGAGTATAGCATTTTCTTTGTGTGTCGCCAGCAAGCTGCGCTCCAACGCATTCAATCTGGCCAACAGTTCGCCTTCGCGACTGCTATTGCAGAAACAATAATACACGAACAAAAAGAAAAGGCACGTGACCGCGACTGTCGCCAGGCAGGCCAATAATTCACTCATTTCAAACATTTTATTACCAGCCACGGTCAACAACATATCCATGGACATATTATTTAGATCCAACTGACAGCCAGCTATTGATGAAGACGATGTAGCGGCATTATTTAGTTCACGCAAGACTTGTGATGGACAATCGTTTGGTGAAAGCTTCTCACAATACTCAGCATCTATGGTAAACACAATTCTTACAGTCAAATTAATTTATCAAAGCATGGTAGCACATTTAAGAACTTACCGGACTCCTTTGATTTTTTATTTGTTTTGGCTCGATCAGGATAGAGTATGCGTTGCAATTCCTCATCCTCTGCGCTAACATCATCCTTTTTGCCATTCGACAAGAAATTATTGACAGTGCCGAGTATAGTAGCGAATAGGCCCTGTTCCTTCTCCTTTGTTTCTTGCTCTGGCAGACTATGTTCTTCAACTGGCGGCAGTGGCACAGATGTTGTTGTTGTTCTTTCATATTCTTCAACTGGCTGCAGTGGCACAGATGTTTTTGCTTTCGTTTCATACTCTATTCTATCTTCTTCTATTGATGGACGTGGCGCAGATGTTGTTGTTTCATATTCTTCAACTGGTATTGGTGTTGAATGTGGTACTGGTTTCTCTACCGTATCAACACCTAATGGAACTGGCGTTGTATGTGACAAGTTTTCCTCTACCGCGCCGACATTTACATCACCGTTTTTACTATTTTCCTCAGCGGGTGTGGATGTGGTTTCCTCTTCGAAAATTTTATCTCTTTTTATTGATACGATGTCTTCATCAGATGCATCGTTGACTTCGTTGCTTTGCTCAACATCACTAAATGTAGGTGTTACCGTATCTAATTGCTCGGATTTCACTTCACTTGTCGATGATTCTGTAACCGTTTCGTAGGAATATGCGCCGAGTGGTGGCTGGTTGAAAATTTGTTCATCGATGGGTTTGGGGTAATAGGGTGTATGCAGTTCTTCGTCTCCAGACCGTTGACTTGCATCTACATCCACAGCCTTTGTTGTAATTTCTTCCGACGCTTCAGGAATATTATTTTGCTGCGTACTCGGATCTAGATGATGGTTTTGATCTTGTGGATGATGCTGATGTGTATGCTGTTGATCCTCTGAGTGCGTATGGACATGTTTGTGTTCTAGTTGTTCCTGTTTGTACTTAAGCTGAGGTTGATATTGAGTTGGTGTTTTGAATATTTGTAAAGTAGGCACATTATGTTCAGCACTTGATGCATTGTCATCAACTTTTTCCTCGGCCGTAGTTACAGGCGTCGATTGGGTTGTATCTTCTATAGAAACGTTAGGTTGTAACTCGGTTTCAAGAGGTATAGTCTCTGCCAATGTGTTAGGAACTGGTAGCCTTTCACTTAATTCACTAGGAACTTCTTTACCAGTTTCATTCGAAGTTGCACTTTCCGAAAACTCTTCAGCGAGATCTACTTGCGGTATGAGTAACTGTTTTTGTGGCAAAGTAACAGATTCGGTAACTGACTTCTCCGTTGCAGTTTCTGTGTCGATTGTCTCATTTATGACAGTTATATTATCGGCCGATGATTCGATGGAAGGCTTTTCCTCAATTTTATGCGTTTCGTTGCGATCACTTATATGTAAGTTTGATTTCTCTTTTTCTGAGGAATCCTCTGGCTTATTTTCTGCATCGGTTTCATTGAAATTTTTGACATTCAAAAAATCACTTTCTTTGTCCAGCGAATTTAATTTCTCTTCATCATTTTTACCCATTATGGGATCATCTTCTTCTTCTTCGCTATAGTCTTCCCCCTCATCCTCTTCATCTTCAACATTGTCATCATCATCTGCGATTCCTAATGTAGGTAACCCTCTTTCTATGTCTTTTGTTTCTTCAATTATTGAAGTATTCTGTTCTTGAACAGTATTATTAATTATTGGTTCAGGTTTATTCACTTGCTCTTTAACCTCTGTTGTTTCGCTGCTGTTTTCAAATGGTTGTTTTTCTGATATCTCAGGGTTATCAGAATTTAAACTGGTTTGCAGGAAATAATTTTCTTTTTCCGTCACTTTTTCCAAAACCGGTATTTCTGTGCCATCAATAATTTCAATATCAGATTGCACAGGTGTCGCTTGCCTTATGTCTTCCTTAGTAGATTCCCTATCTCGACTTGTTAGAGGAATTGAATTTTCAATTTCCAACTGTGGCAATAATGGTGCTGTGGTGGTTATCTCCACATCTTCTTTTTTTATTGGAATATTTTCTGAAGGTTTTAGCACTGCAGCTGGTGTTGGTGGTGTAGTTGAAGATATTGTTTGTGAACCAGTTAAAATAACGGGTACAGTATATAATAAGTCCTTATCTTTCACTATCACTCTTTCTTCCAAAATATACTCCTTTGGTGCGTAACCTTCCCGTCCATTTACATCAATACCCCAAAGGCTAGGATCTTTACCAGCACTTTTCGACTTAATTCGAATTTTAGAGTTAATTTTAAAAGACACCATCCCCTCTTGCCCTGCACGATATGTGATCTTACCAGTTCCCTGAGATATAATGCCTTAAAGATATTTATAATTATATTTGGTATGTTTGAATAAAGTAAACCAGTCTTACTTTGACATTGTGGATCCGCACAAAGCCGAAAGTCAGAAAGACCCTCTACTACCCAATTTGTAGGCAGGAGAATGCTGCAGACGCCCAGAAAAATTAATGCAGAGTTCATTGCCGAGCATTTTCGTCTGCCAAACATTTTGCATTGTTTTTATCGAATACAACACTTTTTATGTATTACCTAAAATATTTTTTACTTTTATTAACTAATTTATTACTTTAACACAATCGTTTACTCTTCTAAGCAAATTCTCTTTAACTTTCTTCTAAAAAATCAGCTTAATTTGATGGGAAAATATATGAAAATTTGCTACGGTCGTTCTTCGCCACATCATCTGTAATCGTTTTGTCAAATTTGTCTATTTCCACACAATGTTGCCAGAAATAAAATAAAAAATTATTCTTAAATTATTTTTGGGAAATGTAAATGTAAGAATGAAAAATGCTTACTTTTTTGTAAATTGTCGTCAGAATGTAGCAAAAGGAAGAAATTTCTGATATACCTTCAATTTCAATGGAGGCAGCAAAATATTCTATATTATGTGGGAAATAACTTTTAACGTGTATACATTGATGCTTATAGCTATAATATAAAGGAAAGTCCTTTGCCACTTGTTGAGTTCGACGGTCAAGAATTAAAGACTGGGGACTTTATTAGCGGTAATAGGTTGAGAGTTTTACTATTGTGCCTCTCCTCAATCGTCGTATTCGACATAAGGTTGTTAGAATAAAATAAAATAAAGTCGTTTTGTAGAGTTGGAGTAATTCGTAAACTAAATTCACACTAAATTCGTTCGGTTAATTTTGCTAAGATATCTTACATATAACAGAAGATGGTCCAAACAGAGTTTCATTGAGGTCAAGGATGAATAAGGTACTTCACATAATATCACCAATATATTGTATAAGGAGTAAAATCAACCTGAAGTTCGAAAATCCTGGTATTAGTTATATGAGGCTAATCAGATAGAATTAAAAGTTGCGCAAAATTTTCACACGGTAAAATTGAAATATCAGGATAATGTTATGTACCGAATTTGATTGAAAACATTTGTTGTAGCGGCAGAAAACATTCCTGAAGTAATCTCGAGGAATGGTGCCGAGTTGACAGTCCTTGGCCGGATAAAAGTCCAAGCCCGTTCCGGTTACTTAGGCCCGACAGTCCAGAGAACGGATGTTATTTCATCTAAAGGTGGGCGGTGACACGCCCATTGTCCAATCTTTTGACACCGGCTCCTATAAAACCCTCTCGTACCACCGAGGATGTAAAATTTAATGTCTCTGATGCATTTCTTTGTTGTTTTATCGTACTTTTAGAAGTTTTCCACGAAAGTATTATATAGGGATTAGGCGGGGTTTTCAGCCGATTTCACTCATTCATTCACAGTGTCGAAAGAAGTGCCGAAAAGATTCGTTCTGACCAAATGTGGTTGATATAGTTTAAAAGGTTTGTGAGACACATACATAAGTGCATTAAACTTATTAGGGGCTGTGCCATGAAAACTTCTTACAAGTTTTCAAACCACTAATGCCCACCCTTCTGCGGATCGCTTTGTGTTTTAATTTTCGGCTTAGTTATTTATATAATTTTGCTTAACCGCATTTTGGCGGCGTGGTCATGTGGCATGGCAGACTGACGACGGAGAGACATAGCGCCATAGAACGCCAGTGTGTATCCATTTTACTATTTTCAATAATTTCTCAAAATTGTTAAATTTCAGACAGTCGGATCACAACCTAACTGATTTTGATTAAATTTATCGATTTTAGCTCTTATGACGATGTCGACAATTTCGCTACCACTGGTTAATTCAATGTTTCCAATTGGATTCTTTAATCAGTATTTGATTTGATTCCGATCAGAGTTCACTCAAATTTATTCCATTACAATAAGGGGAACGGTTTGTTAGCTTATGATCCACAAGTTCTAATTTTTTATACCTAAAAATAGTGGTTTTGTGAACTTAAATAAATTTTTTATAATTAAAATTAGCAAAAATATAATAAGAAATGGCGAAAACTAGAGTATACGTTGTTGGTGTTGGTATGACGAAGGTAAGTATATTTTTTTATAATTAATGCGCTTATATTATGTTTTTGCGCTGGTGAACTTTGTACGAGAAAGCGATAAACCACGTAAATAATTTAACAAGTACTGATACAATTACTACCAACAAAGAGCTATCTAATAAACATGGGATTTTCCAGCAACAACAAATACGCTTTGTGAAAATTTGAATGACCAGCAGTATTTATTTTCAATATACACAAATATATCATTAAACTTGTTTGTTTACGAAATTCTATGCATTTGTTGTATTTTCAGTTTGAAAAACCGGGTCGGCGGGCTGATGTCTGTTACCCTGATATGGCAAAGGAAGCAATCACTAAAGCTCTACAGGATGCGAAACTTGACTTTCCAGAGGTACAGCAAGCGGTCGCCGGCTATGTTTATGGAGATTCTACCTGTGGCCAACGTGCAATATATGGTGTCGGTATGACAGGCATTCCAGTGTATAATGTCAACAATAACTGTTCCACTGGCTCCAGTGCGCTATATTTGGCTAAACAAATTATTGAGTCGGGTAACGCTGATTGTGTACTGGCTGTGGGCTTCGAAAAGATGGAGCGTGGATCACTTTCCGCTAAAGTAAGTAAATTGTATAAAACATATAGCAAATTTAAATACGTATGTATGTATTTATGTATATATGTACATCTAAATCACAAACACATAACTTGATTTGTATTTGAACAGTACTTTGATCGCGTCAACCCCATGGAACGACACATAACTGAAATGTCGGAGCTTACGGAAATTGGCAGTGGTCCAATGGCAGCCCAAATTTTCGCTAATGCTGGAAAAGAGCATATGCGCAAGTATGGAACAAAACCTGAGCACTTCGGTAAAATCGCTTGGAAGAATCACAAGCATTCCGTGAATAACCCGTAAGTTTCAATCAGTTATTATTAAATATATGACATCAAAGTACAAAAGTCAATTGTAACTATAGTGTCCTCTGTTGGGCTTATCTTATCAATAATTTTATATATATGTATATAGCTTGCACTTTCATCTTTTTACCATTTACCCCCCATTAACTTTTTCACGTATCCAGTTATTCTCAGTTCCGAGATGAATACACGCTGGAGCAGATTATGCGCTCACCAGAGGTGGTAGAGGGAGTACTTACAAAACTGCAATGTTGTCCCACATCAGACGGTTCGGGCGCTGCAATTTTAGCATCTGAACAATTCGTACGCCGCCATGGCTTAGAATCACAAGCTGTGGAAATAGTTGGCATGGAAATGGCTACTGACCCCGAATCCACATTTGCGGACAAAAGTCTCATCAAAATCGCCGGATACGATATGACACGTATAGCAGCTCAACGTCTTTTTGGTAAAACGAACTACAAACCACAGGATGTAAATGTAGTTGAATTGCATGATTGCTTCTCAGCAAATGAGCTGATCACATACGAAGCCTTAGGTTTGTGTGAGGAAGGCAAAGCTGGTGAATTAATTGATCGCGGTGACAACACATACGGTGGCAAATACGTCATTAATCCCAGTGGAGGATTGATTTCAAAGGGGCATCCTTTAGGCGCCACCGGATTGGCACAGTGTGCAGAGCTATGTTGGCAGTTGCGCGGTTTGGCTGACAAACGTCAGGTGCCTGGTTGCAAGCTGGCATTGCAACACAATTTAGGTCTTGGCGGCGCCGTAGTTATAGCTTTGTATCGCCTTGGTTTTCCAGCAGCAGCATTGGCGAACGTTAGTAACAATTTAACCGCAGCGAATACTGCTGCCAATGCGGAGGGATTTCAAGTAACGCCATTGCTTAAACTATTAGAAATTGCCATGCAAGAAGATAAGGACAATCTTATTGAAAAAGTGCGTGCTGTATATGGTTTTAAAGTAACAAACGGTCCCAACGGTCGGATTGGCTTTTGGGTCATTAATGCTAAAGAGGGCAAAGGCAAAATTATTTTTAATGGCACTGGTAAGTAAAAAATCGATTTTGATATTTGAATGTTATTTGTTTGAATATTGTGCATTTAACAATGTTTTTTATTTTGTTTTTTACAGATAAATGTGACGTCACATTCACCATCAACGATGCTGATGTTACCGAACTGCTCACGGGCAAACTGCCGCCGCAGAAAGCTTTCTTCCAAGGCAAGATTAAGATTCAAGGCAATATGGGCATGGCAATGAAACTTTTGGACTTGCAAAAATCCGCACAATCTCGCATCGATGCATTGAGAGCAAAATTATAAGAGATAGGCGTAGGCATGTTCGAATTAGTTTCAAACGTCCAAGTTTTTTATTTCACAATTTGTTTTTGAATTTTATTGCGGAAAAGGGTACCGAGCAATTCCATACATATAATCATATGAGTTGACGATAATTATATATATAGTCTGTTAGGGAGTGTTTATATGTAAATGATGCAAAGATGTGTAAAACACGTCATATTTTCTTAATTGTACATTATACTTATTGTTTTTATAAACTACGATAAAGGTGAAATAAATGTTTTACGAAATACCAATCTATAAAAAAAAAACGTTAATTTCTCTTTATGTAAATGTCTTTATGTTCTTGATAGTTAACTTTATTGTTTTGGATTGAAGTCCATTCGACTGAACTAATGAGCTGCAATTATGAGGTGACACCGACGGAAACGCATATAGTATAAAAATGCAACTAATACCGGCAAAGTTTAATAACACTTCTTTACAAACGTCAACAACATCAAGGTTTCCCATATGTTGTCGTTATTGCAGCGGTTTTCTAATCCACGCCGCTGGGTTGGCATGGTTCACGTTGGTTGTAATCGAAGTTATCTAACCGCAGGCCCAGGAAATGTATTCTTTCGACGGGGTCGGACTGTAGGGAGTGGTTAAATGAGTGGGATTCTTTTTACATGCAAAGGAGTGTGGTCAGAATCATGCTCGGACTCATTGCACGCAAGTCATATATTTGGTATGTCGGAGTCATTTCTGGATAGCTAGAAGTTAATGATTTTAGAATTTTTACTTAATGTTTACAAAGAAAACTTACAGCTTCCTTCAGTGGTTGGTCGTTGTTCAGGTTGTAGTGAGAGTAAAGTTTAAACTCCTGCCAGCGTGAAAACGCAAAAGATCGAAGAGATGACTCTATTGTATATTGAATAAAGATTTGGGCTGAAACCAAGGGTGATACCCTTCACAGGTGCATTTCTTATAGCATAAAAGGAAATAAGAAGATCTCTATCTTGATTTTTATCGGTCAGCTTGTATGGCAGCTACTCCAGGGCATGCACCATGCCAGACTGCAATTGGGGAATTACGACCTCAAACGGTTCAAAGCCATAATTAATCTCCCTAGAAACAAATTCCGGCTACTGACAGCGTTCTACACCGGCCACTGCAGGCTCAAGAAGCACCTCTTTAACATGGGCATAGCCTCTTCTGCAAACTGCCGGTTCTGCGACATAGAGCCGGAAACCCCTGAGCATCTGCTGATGAACTGCACAGCAGTCTGCAGACGCAGAATCAAGGCCCTGGGATCCATGTTTCCACACAGGGATCGTATCGCCTCACTAGCACCCAGCAGAATTTTGGAATTTATCAACATGCTGGGCCTAGATGATACGATATGATATATCTAATCTAATGGCAGCTATATACTATAATAGTGCGATCTCAGGTTGTACCGTTGTCTTAAACATTAATCCATTCCAAATTTCGTGAAGATATTTCGTCAAATAAAAAAGTCTTCCATAGGACATAGTTTGGATTGTCCAGTTTATATGGCAGCTATATGCTATAGTGGTCGGATATCGGAGGTTCCGTCCAATAAGCAGCTTCTTAGAAAGAAAATTTCGATTTTTCGGAACCTGAGAAAATAGTTCGCGTATATACAGACAGCTAAATCGACTCAACTGATCATTCATATATGTATGTACATATATATTTTATAGGGTCTCCGACGTTTTCTGCTGGCTATTACAAACATCGTGGGAAACTTAATATACCCTAAAATAAATAAACAAACATCTGTCGTATTAATAAAACTTTATTTGCTACTCTTTCTTCTATGTTTAATATATGTATGTAAGTATATGTATGTATATGCAATATAAGTATATATGTATACGTAGGTCATTGTTTCTGTACAATATGTGAAAAAAGATGCAAGATTCATACATAACTGCTATAACATCTATTATGTATGTGGGTGTACGTGTACGTGTGTTAGTGTGTGTGTGTGTTTAAATTTATGTATATCGAGCATTATATACCCAAAATATTCAACAAAATATATAGGTACAATGCATATGCAAATGTAAACATTCATCTTTATACATATGTAAGTATGTGTGTCAATTAACTGTCACACAGAATATAACTAAAATTAAACAAAATATGATGTCCTCATGGTTTCAAGCAGCTAATACATTTTAACAACAATTTAAAAGGCTTAAAATACATAAGTATGTAGGTCATGCAGTAGCGACTTAAGAAGCCTTTGCCTAAGTAACGCAAATACCATAAACAATTTATTATTTTTACATGGTCTGCATGTACTGTATGTGACTTTAACTTGGTGCAAGTGTGCATGTTTACATATTACGAGAAAAAAAATCAGGAGATATTCTCTGCATATATATTCATGTAGATGTGTAAGTACGCACTTGTTCAGTGGCCGATGCAACACTTTGTAATTAACCATTACTGTTATTCCTAAATATGAAATTCGCTTGCCAAATATCCAGAGAGGAATTTAAAATTTCTTAAATCACACGCAATCTCAATATATGTATATATACCGTTTCTAAGTTTTCAACGTTCAACTGGACTTGCAGATTTGTTTGCCTCGGAAGTGTTGCTGCTCATTGCACTGCATGCTAAGCGTGTGCTTGCGTTATTTGCTTTTTACTGATGTCTTTATTCAAACTCCATTGAAACATAAACTTTTGAATCCAAAATAAATTAGATACATCTTTGCAATTTAATAATCCACATTCTCCTCGCTGCGCAAGCGCTCATAATGTGCAGTATTGCGTGTAGCTGCAATGTATGGCAATTCACATGAAGTGCGCGTAAATAAATTAAGGAAAGCTAGTATCTTACAATGCAAGCTAAACTATTCATAAATATGTTGGCATAGTATATGTATATGTGAAGAGTTTTCCAAAAGAAAAAAATATATAATATTTACAAATAGGCTGCAAATTGTAACAATAATTGTTTTTGTTTGTTTTGTTATGTGTAGTTTGTGTATACACTTATTGGTTTGCCAGATAAGCACTAAGCATGTGAATCAATTCCCACAACAGCCGGTTCTACGTTACCGGAATTTAGCCGGATTTTTTCCAGCCAAGGGCTATTATTTCGAGGATCTGACCCTGTGTGGATCGGTAAGTATGGCGAAACTATATTTTTTTTAACTACTGCTCAGCGCTTCAGCTGCTCAAACACACAATAATAACGCTTTCCATGTTGACATTCTGAGTGGAAAAGTTCCTGCCTGCTGTAGCGAGACGCTTTAGTGTAACGATGATGAGTAGTTGTGTGTGTTTGTTGCCGATGTAGCTGCCGCATTACTGTTATCCATACTGGCCATGATTGAGCTGACCAGATCAGCTGGGGCAGCGTTCGCCGGTTTGCTTATTGCTCCAACCTTCATTATTTTGTGGTGTGACTTCCTTTCAACTTGTTGTTGCTCCGTAGTGGCAGTAGATGTCACTCGTACGTTGACGCTACTGTTATTGCTCTTCATTTTAAGTGACGCCTGCGGCACTATTACTACTGTTCGCGTCGTTTGATGATTGCTGGTGCCTGCCAGGGATGTACCTAACAATATTGTTTTGTTTTCCAGTTGCACTATTGGTGGCGGCGGTGGTAAAGCTGGCGCTATTTCAGGTGGCAATGGCGGGAAGGTCGCTCCCGCTTTTGCTGTCACGATCGGTAACGCCGAAACTGCTGCTACTGTTGTGGGCTGTGTTACATCTTCTCTGAGTTCTTCGGAGACTGTTACCTCTTCTTCATGGTCGACCACCAGTTGTGGTTGACAAAGTGTTGCAGGCTCAGTTATAACTGAAAGTATATTCACGTGGTCCGTGGTTTGAGCAGGTAGTGTGCTTTGTGCCACTGTTGTTACGCCTGCGTTAAACAAGGTCTCGGTTGCATAGTTCGTGGGGCGTGTTACGTTAGTCGGCACTGATTGCACCGACTGAGGCATTTGTGGCGGCAGCGGTGATGGTGATTGTGTTTGAAGCGTTGATTTTGCGGTCTTGATGTTGGGAGCGTTGGTGATAGCAGAAGCGGTGGTGGATGAGGAGAGAGCAGAAGGCTCATCGGATATTATTTGTACTTGAATTTTGATCTCGGGTTCCTTTTGATTCAGGCTGTTAACGTAAGCCTCACGATGTGTAAAGGGCGTTTGAGGCACAAGTGGCAAGGGTGTTGCAGGCACTGTCGGCTCCGGCAGTTTGGGTATCTTTTGTGAAGCGGATGACGTGGACGCAACCGTTGCTGTCGTTAAAATTGTTGGCGTTTGAGGTGTCATTACCTTTAGTATTTCGGTGTTTGATTTTTTCACATTTTGTGCACTTGGTGTACTAGTTGGTGTTTGAGATTTTGCTACTGAGTTTAAAAAAATATTTTTGGGTTGTGTATCATTTGGTATGTCGCCATTAGAGTTAAATTTATGCGTCAAACAACTGCTGATATTGTTCGTGCTGCTTCGTCGTTCTTGTTTCATAGCCTCTGTATTAGATGTTGTATCCTTGGACTCTTTACGCTTTTTCAAGTGCTTCTCAGCAGTCGAAGCATCCGCTGTAGTAACGCTAGTGTTGCTCGCGCTGCTACTGTCGATCTTCGTAGTGGTGGGCACATTTTCGTCTTCATTACTTGCCGCCATTGACTTATGTAACTTATGTTCCAACACCATTTTGCGCATATCGATTCTGGCATCGTCACGAACGGCTTTCCGTTTACGGCTTGTTGTGGACCCACATTCAGAGCCATCCTTCGAATTTGAGTCCTCCGTGCCACTCTCACTGGACCGTCGTTCTTTGCCATCGATGTCAATTAGTTTTGTCTTCTTTGCTTTACCATCATGAGACCGTTTACATGGCGTGCGCTTGCCGCCATGATGCTCATCATGCGATATTGGATGAGGCAGCAACGTCTGCTTCTCTTTATAGTGAGGTGGCTCTGCTAACACTGGATTATTCTTTTCATTGATTACCTCCTGACCTGGATAATACTGACGCAAACGTAAGTGCCAAGCTGTAGACATGAATAAGTAGTTAAAAATTAATTTACAACATATAAAAGTAAGAAATAATATTTCTGGGAAAATTTATAAGTAAGTTCTTCATTATTTCGGCATAAATTAGAACAAGATCGTCAAACGCCGATATCTAATTACCCTTAGCCATTATTTCTACTGTGTAAAGACTCGCAACCACCAGCTGTGATTTTGACTTGAACTACGGTAGTAGTTTCATATTCCTTGGCCGAATTAAAATCGGGGTCCGTTACTGTTATCTGGACCGTTATTTAATTGTCATCCAAATCATCTAACGGAAGACCCAGGAATGTGCTGTTTCGACGGACCATAGGGAAAAGGGTGTGAGGTGAGTTGCTTTCATAGAGCATTCAAAGGTTAATTATGCGGGGACTTATTACATGCTGTTCATAGAGTTGGGGTCAATTCTCGATAAGTAGGAGTTTAAACTGCTAGACTTTCCGGTACTAACTTGCGAGTCACTCTAGATTCTTGATGCAGCTCGAGCTCTTCTTTTGCTATGGGTGGTGGTCTAACTCCAAATAAGTCAATCACTGGGAGGGATTTTGTGCAGGTGAACCCATCGTCGATCAGTACAGTTAATTTCTTATAATCAACTTAACAACATAACTAGGTTAGGTTAGGTTAAGAAGTCGAGCATATAACGCCGGTCCGTTGTGGTATCTAAAAGCCTTATATAATTGATCATAAGACCCTCACAAATCACCAATTTTAGCTATATCTCCTGGTTCGCCGAAGGTAAGATTGTCGGATGTTTTTCCACCTTACCTTACTCCATACAGCTTTGACAAGTTGTGAACGATTAGATTCTTAACCTTACCGCATTAATGCCTATTAGACAATGTCTAGTAAGAACTCTTACCATTGCGGTAAGCTGAACCTTGTTAAGAACAAATATTTCAGTAGATTTCCTTTGTTCTACTCTAGGTCAAAAGAATCTCGCAGTTGCATAGGAGCGGGTCGTCGAACAACGCTTGCTAAATGCACGCGCAACAACATAACAAGATAATAAACAATTTTTAAGACTTACCAATACTGGTAACTGCTGTAACCGTCCGAAATTGATGTATGATATTTCTTGGCAAAAAGTATATGTCATTATCACATAGCTGTATGCGAGAGTAACGAATGCCCTCACGGCGCAATTGATTTAGTTTTGCATCCTCAATCCACTGCACACATTGCGATATTGGGGGTTCATGCAAATCGAGCTGTAGAACCTCTACCAAGTAGTTGAAATCTTGAGCGGCAAACGCCACCACGTCTTTAGTGATACGATTGCTATTATATGGTTGGCCACAATGTACCGCTTTAAGTATACCTATAATAAATTACGTTTATTAGAGGTACAATAAGGAAATTACAATGTAGGATTGTAGTATTTACTAACCCACAGCAGCCGTGGTATTGCGTTCGTGACCATGTCCAACATGATCTGCATGCGCTTTGGTGCGATCTTCAATCATGGTCTCCCGTGCTTCCGACAATCGTGGAAGATACTGTAGATTGCGTAGCTCATTTATGCGTGTACTGAAAAAATAGTTAAAGAAATTATATTGCTGTTGGTAGTAATGTTATAGCAGAAATCTACCGTTGGCGTTTCATTGGCGTTTTACTATTCAGTTCAGCTGTAGGCACTAATTGCTCTCCCGCGCGCACCCACAATATTGGACCATCATTCGAAAGACGAGGATCAGTTTGCAAAATCGAATATGATCCCCAAGGCATGGTCTGAAATAGTTCAAAAATATATTTGTTTATGAGTTTATCATAAGCAAAGATTACATTACCTTCTTAAGAAATGGATTCGACTCAATACGACCCAACAAATCGGGAAAATATCCACCAACCTCCTCGTGCACCTTGCCAACTAAACTTATTTGATGTAATGGTCCATAACGAAATGTTCCTTGAGAATAATTTCGTACCACCTACAGGAGAAGGCAACAAATAAAAAAAAAGCAATATATGAAGGATGTCTCACACAAACCTGCTCATTGTATTGCGACATTGTACAGGTTTCAATATCGGAATTTCTCCCCAGAACACCAGCTTTTACCGTCAACGTTGAGTAATTCTCTGCCATGTGTTCCAATAGATCGGGTATGTAACGTGCAGCGTCATGCACTATTCCCATAACATGCAAGGCATATCCCTGATCATCTTCTGCAAAGCAAACATTGAAGAACTCCTCCACCAACTCCTCCATTTGTTCCGGCGTTAATTGGTTCAACTCGTCCTGATACAAATGTACTACGGAAGCGCCACCATTTGGATGCACGTCCACTTCAAATAATCGTCCATATTTTAAGTGTTCCAACCCTTGTGGTGGACGTTCAAGCCGCCTTCGGGGCGTAGTTACAGAAAATGGTTCACTATGGTGAAATTGTGTTCCAATACTAGCACGGCGTATCTTTGAACGTTTGTAGCATTTAGAACAATCGCGGCTGCGCGAAGATGATGATGTCGATGTAGACGCCGATGCTGAAGTTGACGAAGATGAATGCTTCGTAGTTGAGGTTGATGATGACGTTGAATTTTTGCGATGGTAACTACTGTTTGATGAGGAGGATTTTCGTGCACTCGAATTGCTTGAAGTTATAGTCGATGAATGTACACTGCTACTAGATGGTTTTGATATCGGCGTGGTTTTTAATGCATGTGAGATGAAGCTACTATCATTCGTTTTTTCAGCTTTAGACTCTTTTGTTGCAGCACTCGTAATTGGTTCATTGCTAAAAATCAGCTGACGTGAAACATCGTCGCGAGTTTTTACTACAGAGCTATAAGTTATGTCATCGCCACCTGAGACCCCACCCATAGCATTCCCATTGTATTCGGTTTTAACTTTTTCTATCACAGTTATATCAGTTTTTAAAGGTGATATTGATTTTTCAGTTTGAATGATATTGGAATTTATCTCGCCGATACCGTTAGGTAATTTATATGTAGCAACATCATCATTTGAAGCTACGAACTCAGAAGAATCCTTTTTATCGTCTATTACTTCTACCGATTTTTCGATTTTGATATTATTAGGTATTACTTCAGTTGTTTTTGTTGGATTAAGTTCATTATCCATTTTGTTGTTATGTGGGAGCACTTCAATAAATTTGTTTTCAGGTTGTTTCATTTCCATTTTGATTGTATTCCCTATTGGCGGAGTGTTTTTTTCTGTTTCAATTAGCATTGAATTATTTTTTTCTGCTTCGATTTTTGTAGATGATGACTTTTCTTGGGATTTGAGGATAAATTCTTTTCCACCCACAATGCTATTTGTTCGACTGTTTGATTTTGTACAACTGGTGTGACTTCCACGACTACTATCTGAACTTCGCCGCCTATGCTCGTTCAAGGAACTTACCGAAGATGTTGCTGAGAATGGCTGTTACATTATAAAAATATATGGTAATTAGGAAATTATTTATATAAGATGGTATTGTAACAATTTACCTTATCTTTCTCTTTTTCACGTTTAGATAATACACTGGACGATGTGGTAGGCTTAGGTTTCTCGAGTTTATTGCTGCCTTCTTTAGTTTTATCACTGTTACTTCCGGAAGAATTATGAGATCTCGAGTGCGAACTGTGTTCTTTGCTGGAACGTTCTTTCGTAGAGTTTTTATCCCGATTGCGGTCTCGTGCACGATCTCTATCTTTATCACGTATTTTTTCCTTGTTACGGTCTCGGGCCTTATCACGATCCCTGTCACGCTCTCTATCTCGATCACGATTCCGATTACGTTCTTTATCTTTTTCCTGGTCACGTTCACGATTCTTTTCTTTCTTTTTCTTTTTATGATTTTTTTCTGTAATTAAATATAAACTTATATCCAATTATTTAAAATTGATGTAACATTTGAAATTACCTTTTTCAATGCGACTTCTCATATCAACTTCTGAACTTCCTGTTAGCAGTGGTTGTGTATCGTTTTTTACTGCCATTGAATTTTGTTGCTCTTCCGCTGCACCTTGCACAACATTTTCAACTGTTATATTCTTTATACCATTGTTTGCAATATTTAGCTGTCCGTTTACAGGTTCTTGCAATTTCACCTGTGTTGATTTTTCTTTGTTTTCCTGTAGCGGCACAGTAATTTTAGCGCCACTTTCAATGTTTCCACATTGCATGGTTATAGCCTTTGTATTTATAGTTTCTATATTTTCCATTTGTTTTTTCGTTATAGCATTTATAACGATAGCTGTTTACTCTTTTACCTTTCTCATAGGTAAATTTTATAATTTGTAAATATACACGCAAGCCGTACGAAAGTTAAGAACAAAAAATCGATGAGTTTACCGCCACTACGTTTCTTTTTTCTCGGCCCGTATTTCTTTCTGCTGCTGCGCTTTTCACTGCGTAGTTTTTCAAAGCGCCAATATCGGGAACTCGGACGTGAGCGTTAGCACGATATAAAACAATTCACTACCCGTTTGACACCTCCACTTACCAAATAAAAATGCCACATGCAATACAACCACAGTTCTTTGTAATTACTTGCGCAAAAAATAGATTGAACTAACTATAACATATATTTGGGATTTTCTCCCCACCAATAATTGCAGCTGAACTTTTTTCTACGAGAATTTTTTAATGCACTTGCGGCTGCTATGGCCCTATGATGCCGTACGTATGCGCTGCGTTGCTATAACTTCTGCTACGACCTCTGCTGCTGCATTGAATTGTTTTCGTTTTTGTGCCGCTGCTGATTCAGTGGCGCAAAATACTACAACAGTTTATTGCCCCGAGAGAATAGTTATTTTAGAATCCTTAGTATAAAATTAGTCTATACACTTTTTTCTAAACTCATATACTAAGTTTTTGTCTTTTACATATTTTTTAAACAATTTTCCACACGTTTTTCGCACATCAACACAATTTCTTGACCACGAACTTACGAAGCAAACTGCGATGTTCGGGTCACGTAGTTGGTATGCCCAGGATTGCATTTTTATGAAACCGAATACCTCTAAAAATTTTGAAACCAGTGGTGAATTTAATTAGATCAGATATTTTCATTAAGTTTTTTGAAAAAATTAATTATTGTAATTCGTTTTTCTAATTTTTTTCTTTCTTTTATTTTTAACTATGTGTTTATAATGTAAAACACTGCAAACAACAAAGACTGCGAAGTAATTCTTGACTATACCACATTTATATATTTTAATTAGAAAAGTGTATTGTTATATAAGATAGAGTTTAAAACAAAAAAAAAAACTAACAAAACGGTACAGAAATTATTATAATCACAATACTCTTCTGTGGCAGCACTGTAGTGGTGAAAAAGTGGTGTATGTAATGCGATGAGTGCTCGAGCATTCGCAGAAATTATTTAAAGTATTTTTATTATAAATTCAATCGAACAAAAGTTGAGATTATTATATTAAGTTAAAGAAAAGTATTTTTTATAAATTCAAGTGTGATATATAAGTCGTAAAGTTGGATAATACGTCGCATCGATATTTTCTCGGTTAATGAGTTCAACCAACGTCCATCTACATGCGTAAATATGTATGTACTTCTCTCATATCACAACCTTCTTCAAATGTAGCAGCAGTAGCAACACAACAATTTTGCCATTTATAAATATCCATCTTGGGTTGTAGACGGTCGGGCTACGGATATAGCAAATCAAGAGCAATAAAAAGCAACGTCCAAAAACAGTACTTTCGTGGTGCATGAGTGTTTGTGAATCTCATTTACAAAAATTTCATTATTCGCGTATTATTGTTAATTTTTATTTAAACACCAATTATAAGCAACCAATTGAAATCAATGTTGTATGTTTGTAGTAAGGTGATCGTGGCCGACATCGCCTTAGAGACCAACGTCGGGTCAGTCGTACTGTGAGATGTCGGAATAAAAATTAGTGTGTTTGTGTCCTGATAACCATTCCTTAGTTCCATAAAGTAACCGGTCAAAAATTAGTATTTTGTATTTAACGTTCTGCACGATTATAATAATTGAGCGTAAACTGCGAATTAGTAATTATTACAAAGATATACGGTGACCATTTACTTGTGAACCGGCGTAAACAAACTGTGCAGAGACGGACTGCCAGAAGCAATCACAACAAATATTTTGCAGCATGTATTTGAAGTGAAGAAAATGCGTACATATTTGTGCATGTGCCCTTCACGATGATGTCAATGCAACAAGCTATCAGGTGAGTTTTGTATGGCAAGAAAGTTTATCATATATCATATATGTACATAAGTATGTACATATCTTTGCAGTACCTAATTTCTTATGAAGTTTTTCTAAAATAAGTAATTCCAAAGTTAAACGAAAATGGCCCTATAGTTGTTTATCTTATCTCTATTAAGAAAAAAAATTGGATTCTGCACCAACGTACATATGTATGTACATCTGTATCCACATGTCAAGACTACTATCGTGCTCATTTAAAATTACGTTCATGCTACTACATATTCGCAAAATTACCTATCCAGAAATTATTTGTAAAGTCAATAAACACCAAGCTTTTTCCTAAAAATCTCAAAATTGCGAATAAGTATTGAATCCGGATGACACAAATCATATAGAAAACCTAATTTCTGCTTGATTTTGTATCTCACTAGCTCGGAATTTTTTATTTTTATTTTGTACTCTTCTTTTTTTTATCTTTTGGAGCTTGTTTGCGTCAATTTGCCGCACTTAAAAGAAAGAAAAATAAAATATAAGAGACTTCTCACAAAAGATTGAAAAACCAGTATTGCTGGCAAGTGAGTGATGAGTGTTTAGTAGCAGTTTTTTTTCGGTAATTAACTTTATGAGTTGATGACTGGAAGACGCACGTGTAAACATATTTATATACGTGTGTACATAAATATTTATCATAAGCCAAATTTTAAAAATGTACCCAGTAATATATGCACATTGATGTTATAAGTATTCACATACAACTGCACATTTAATAACATAAAACTATAAGTATGTATGCATGAAAGATGGTGTCGACCTTGTACATCTCTTTAAACTATGATACCTTATACTCGGTTCAGTTATATGAATCTTCGTTATATTTCATTGTTTCATAAAACAATACAGCAAGGCAGCTAATTTTACTTATACTCGTTTATATAGACATCACCACCGATTATGACCATGAGGATTAGTTAGTTTTACAACTTCCTTGGAAGAAAATTCAGTAAATATTTACACATAACGAAAAAGTACGTTAATAAAATGTGTGAAGTGTACACAGAGATTTAGCAATCAATATTGTACATATATATAATATATAAATATCTTTATTTATACAAATGCAATTAGCCTAGATGCCTGGTCAAACTTCCCATCTTATTTGCAGTGAGCAGCTTGTGCTCAACAAGTTCTAAGCGGCCTGAGCATATTAAATTAACATTTTTGAAATAATATCTTCCCGAAATAATTTTTGATGCTGAGAAATTAGCTTTGAGGGATATTGCCCGAGGTTAGTTAAAGTTGTGATGAAATCAAGACAGAATTCCTGGTTGTTAGAATAACAATCTAAGGTATTCATGAAAAAAAATAGGAAACTAAAATTTGATTTCAGAAAGGAAAATAGGATTAAAATGAGTCGTTATAAAATGAAGAAAGTAGATGAAAAGAAAATAGGAAGATTTTGCGGAACCTTAGTAATACGAAAACCGTCCAATCATAAAAAGAATAAATCATAAATTCTTTTATTTAAAAGTGTACATTTATATGTGTATATAAGCGTTACATTTTTAGTTTACATATTTACATTCCAATTTGATACAATATAATTCAGGTATCCTTTTAGAATATCTCGATTTTTCCTTGCAATTCAATACTTATGGCATTTAGCGTTTTGTTCTTATCTATTATAATTAATAATAAAACGTTTTAATGACAATAAAAATATATTAAAACTTAATATTTCACATCTCTTAACACTGATCTATCTATTGGTAATAAAATTGGTTTCCATGACAATATGACAAAAAATAAAAAACGTCAGAAGGGTCAACGGCGCCGGTCATATGCTCGCTCGTGTTATGAGATTTTTTTGCTAAATACCATCGAATTATGGTCAAAAGTGCTGTGAAATCATAAGAAGCTCATGAATAAACTTGATAGTGATATTGTACAATTAAATTAAAGAGAAATTTTGCAATAGTTTGCACGTAAACTCAATAAAAGGAATTATACAAATACATTGATTCTATATATTTTACAAGGTAGTATCGATACGGAGCGTGCTTCCTCTTACGAAAGAATTGTTTGTATCCATAAGGTAAATTTTTTGTTTTTCTCATGATTTTTCTGTTTACATTTTATGACTTTGCATGATTTATAATGTATTAGTATTCAGTTATCACTCAAAAAACGCATTTTCATTGGTTGAAATCTTTGAAAAGTTGATTTTTGAGGAAAACGGCTGATTTTGACATTATGGATCCAATTACTGGTTTTTGCGCTACCTACCTTATATAATTGAATCATGATCAAATACGCGGAAAAACACATTTTTTCGTATATCTTTATAACATCATCCAATTGTCAAATTAGTTGATCTCATCATTATGCGGCGAATGCATGTCCGATTTTTCTTGAACCGCATACAAATTAACAGTTATAACAATTTAAATAAATATACATACATTATTTTTTATAATAATTCAACAAACAGCAGTCTTTCAGAAACTAAGTTTACAAACGAAAGGTATTCAATTGAGCTAGCAAATAAAATCAAATCGCAAGGTTTTCTTTGGAAATGTGATTCCTGCAATTTAGATGTTGGTGTCGTCACTCAGGATGATCTTGACCTTGAAAGTGACGAGAATGATAGTATTACCATGAATAAGCTTAAACGTCTGCTGGATGACCAATGTTAGAAGGTCACCACGTCCTTAAAAAATTAATTAAACAGTTTTAAGTCGGTCATAGAAAAGAACATCATATATATCAGGAAGGATGTCACCTTAACTCAACAGAACAAACGCATGGTTGATAAATGTACCGGACTTGATCGCAGACTAACATCAGTTAAAAATAAGCTCGATAATTCTCATCAGTTTTTCAGCACCAACAGAAGAAGTCATCGCAGAGTTCTAAGAACGTAGAACGTAAAGAATCTAAAAAAGCAGACGGTAAAGATCCATACTGTACTGCCTAATAACTTAAATTTTAATATATTATATATAGTTTTAAAATTCGTCATCTAGGTCATCCTTTTGCTGGCCGTACTCGCCCGCTACTTGTTGAGACTCCATCTCCTTCTATTGCTCGAGCAATACTAAAGTCTAAACCGCCGGAACCTTTCGATGGATCTGCCAAAGTGATATTTAAATCGGACCTCAGCTCAGCTGACACATCCAAGAATCACGGCTCCACTCAGCCATCTATGATGGGGAAATAATAGTCGATTCATTTAATATCTTTAAGAAGAATAGAAGTAGTTCCACAAGTAATAGTGAATATGGTGAAAGCGTTTTCATCGCAATTAAAAAATATATCAACGCAGAGAGTATTCCCATTTTAGATGATAATGTCGAACATCTACCAGACACTCTTCGACACGCTCCATTTTCTAAAAAAAAAACACAAAGGCGATTTTAACCTTTCAAGCAGTTCCCCTCGTATTGACTATGAGAATCCATTCTATGAAAGATTCCCTTTAATGGAATGCCGATAATTTAATAGTGTTCAAATCGACAATAATAACCTTCCTGATCTCTGTTTCAGTAACCTGAACATTCATGTAAATCACACCCACGCGTTTACCACAATGGACTTGTACCATCCTGCCCTTGATATCACTATTGATCTCCAGCCTATCCTCAAGCCAGTAACTTTGCCATTCTTTGACTTCAAGGACGCTGAATACGGCAACTTGAATGCCTATTATCTAAACACCGATTGGTCTAATTTGAATTCATCAACTTTCCTAGACAGCAAAATAAGAGTCTTCTATGACATAATTCATGAAGGTATGTCAACTTATGTTCCAGTTCGTACACAAAAAACCAGTAAATTTCCTTACTGGTTTACAAACGAATTAAAACATAAAACATTACTCAAGAAAAACAATACCAAACTGAATTATATCAAAATTAGGCGAACTTGGATTCACTAATATTCAATTGGAAGGCAATTTCCAGTTAAAGTTGATGAGCATCTATCTACCAAGCACGATGTGAACTGTGTGATCTTCAGATCTTCCAAGTGATATCGACAAACTGCCGACCTGGTGCTACAAAAACAAACTAGATTTGAACATCTTAAAGTGCGTAGCCGTGTCATACTCACGTTAAAACTCTCGAAAACCAGCTTACTACAAGTATAACCTAAACAACTAGAAAATAAGCCAAGTTGAGTACGTAAAGGACCTGGACATCATCATAGATAACGAACTGACATTCAAAAAGTATATTAATAAGATCACTCGCTTTTAAAGTTTTAGGTTTTACAACCGTTTCGAAAAAATTCAAATCTAACTCTATAAGAGTTTGGGTTACCGTTATGGCTTCTGTAGAAAACATAGCTCAATAAATGATAACTACGACCATTTCAATGTCAATAACCTGCACGTACGTCGGCAGGTTGCTCACTTAATATCAACCTGATTCTACAGAATATAATAGTTTTGTTCACCTAACGGTGGTTTGTATCACCTAAAACTAATCGAGTTAGATGTAGAGTTATGTCTGTCCATCCGTCCGTCCGTGCAAGCTGTAACTTGAGTAAAAATTGAGAAATCTTTATGAAACTTGGTACATATGTGTTTCTTGGGACCGTAAGACGTTTGGTATTGCAGATGGGCGTAATCGGACCACTGCCACTCCCACTAAACGCCATTAATCAAAAACAAATAAATTTCCATAACTAAGCTCCGCAATAAGATACAAGACTGTTATTTGGTACACAGGATCACATTAAGGATGGGCATCTGTAGTTAAATTTTTTTTTAAAAGTGGGCGTGGTCCCGCCCTTGTGACCAAAAAGTTTCTAAATCGAACTAAAACTGTTCAGGCCCCTAGGTAGTGAATATTTGGACCCAAGTGCCTATAGTTGACTTTTTACCAAAAATATCTTTGCGAGAGTATAAAATGTTCGGTTACATCCGAACTTAGCCTTTCCTTACTTGTTTAAAATATATTTGTTAACATTTTACAGAACATTCTTCGAATGTCATACTTAAATGTACCAATGTTTTAA